TTTCTTATATGAGAATTAGGCACACAATATTGTTTAATGACCAGCTTTTGTACTCATGGGCAACTCACGTTGGAATGTGATGCACTTTTCCAAAACAAATGATAGTTATCTGAATCAAGAATCTTCTGTACTAGGCAACAGCAGTACTTTAAAAAAACCTTGCCTTTTCCCTGATTTTTGTGGTCTTTTCATTTACCACAGCAAGACCAAAAAATTGCAGCATCAGTTGTTTGACAGCTTTCAGTTTTTATAGTGAAAAAAATCCAGCAGTTGAGACGTGCTTTTCCCAGTATTCAGGTATTTTAACATTTGCTCTGGAGAAACACGGATGAAACTCCGGCATCCTGCATGTAAAATCAACAGCCAACATGATTCCAACTCTCTTTTAATTAAGAATTTGTAGCAGTGTCCAGTTTGGCACGTGCCTTCTCCATTGTTCTTTGCATTAGCATTTAGCGATTTTCATTAGCACATAAGAAACGAGTTATATGAATTCTCTCTAGTTAAAGAAAATGAGTGGCCCAGAAAGGGATCCAAAAGGGGATCCAGTTATGTCTACACCCATGTAGGATGTGTTACCTACCTCTTCATGATTAACCTACGCCTTTGGTTCAGGTTTGCATGCCACTGGTCTCTGACGATTACGTGCTTCATGTCCAATTTGCCATGCACGCATAGACCTTTGTCTGGAAAATTAAATGTGTTTTTTTACTATCAGCTTATCACTTCTATTTAGTATTAGGTTACAATTACTAACTAAATAACAATTATTCACCAAAGTGGAGGTGGCTAGTCCTCTGACACTGAGGTGAATAATAATATTGTTTTAGCATATACTAAGACAGTGAGATAATTGAGCACCAAAATGATAATTTTAACTCAAACACTGTTGCCAATGATTACAATTTTGGCGCATGATGACTGAACGGTCGCAGCCATCCCTTTTTCTTGCTGACAAATAAAACTTTTGAAGGCATTTGTTTAGCTCTTGCGGGAGAATTTCTTCAAAAAGAGTTGTGAATTCTTTTTGTATTTAAAATCATTCTGTAAAAAAAGATTATTAAATTTAGTTTTAAGCTTATTTATGAACAAGTCAACTAAATAAAGTAACGCAAGACTTAAGCTTAATTTGCATTTGTAAACAAAAAACTTTTTCACCGGTTTTATCGATAAATTTGAGTCAAAAAGACAAAGCTTTACCTGTTAAAACTTCCAAACCGAACTTCGTCAGCTTCTTCGTGTATAATTTCGGGAACAGCTTGCTTGATTAGTTGTGAAATTTCTTTGTTTGTCAAGGCAACAAACCGGGAAGGCATTTTGCTCGCAACTTACGTGAGTTTGGCGTTGCTCACTCGGAGGAACTGGAGGTGAATCAGTGAATAGTGCAAGGTATTCACTGATTGAGTAGCCAACCACAGTGTGCGAAAAACACTATCCACTGTTTTAGCATATACTAAAATAAAATATTTAATACATTGTTTTTAAGGCAACTCAGGTTTCTGCATTGGATTTATTCTGTTTACCTAGAAATTACTGTAGATGACTGATTTGTTACTAATAATGATACAGTATTGCTTTAAAGTTGCTTAACCAGGGCAGGAAAAATATTGAAACCCACCTGTCCAGTGGGCAAGTAAATCTAATGTGCAATTCTAAATAAGCTGTTGTCTATAATAAGTCATGCATGTAGATATTTTGTGTAAAATGTAGGAGGAGAGAACCTTATGCTATCATACCCCACCCTCTCCCCCCCCACCTTAGCTTCTTTGTTGCTAACAAAAACCTCGCAATTTTCCCTCAGAAGGGGTTGGAATGTCTCTTACTTTAACCTCACCTGCTCAAACGGCCCAGGTAGTTGTCGCTCTGCAGCTACACTGGACACAAAACTCACGTGAAGTACCTGAAAAACAAGTAAAAAATACAGACATTGAAAAACTGCCTCGTTTCTCAATCCCACAAGAAACATCGAAGTTTTTAAACCCTTTTACGGTTCATCAAGCACCTTTTCAAACGTGCGTTTCCCTTTTAAACGGATAGACTTGAATCCCGGGGGGGCACTTTAGGAATTTCTGGGTGGGGATGTGCCGCTAGGACCCTGGAACCCTTGACCTATACCAGAGCTAGTTCAGCTGAATTTTGCTACCCTATACTAGAGTGAACTCCCAAAATCCCCCTATCCTAGAGCAGCTGTTTCCCCAGTCTAGCTAAAATCTTCAACCAACTGATCAGTTTCCTGAAAAATGATACCCTATTCTAGACCCAAACGCTCTGATTTATATACCCTATCGTAGAGTAAACTGCTTGAAAACCATACCCTTCACAGCGGCACATACCCATATAGCCCATATATGGCAGTACCCCTCCCACCCCCGGACTTGAATCCGTACAAAATCCGAAACCTTTCAGCGAACATCGACTTCCATTGACTCCGCCATGTTTGCTTTAAGTTCCCAGTTCGGCTAGTAAGCCGCCAAAAAACGTAGGTTACACGAGCAAAAAGTCATATTGTCGTTTGCAAACGGATTTTATGAATAACGCAAAAGGAGTTTACGAAGCCCTCCATGGACTGCAAAGTGGAAACGCAAAGAAAGCTACTCGTGCTTGTTGCTTCTGCATTTAACGGTTTACTGTCAGTATTGACCGGGAGTGGAGACTCAGGGGTGAATGCATTGAAACAACACCGAAAATATAAATCTTAAAGGTTACCTGACATATTCTCTTCGTTCCGTGGCCGAAACTTTTCGTCGGACATGACAAGTTACAGTTGCAAATGGTGCCATGCCACGTGAGTTTTCAGCTCGAAACCGAAGCGACAAGAAATCCTACGTTGTGTAAACGTCATGAGGTGTCCTAAGGGGTTGTGGCCTCTAGGATTAAAAAACAAGCATTGCTGGACACGGGCACGCCAATCACAAACAAGCATTACGCGTACAGTACCACTCAAAATCACACCAACAGTATTTTCAATTGAACACGGGTATTACAGGGAAATTCCTGGCAAAGTCCATTGGGAGTTAACCGCTGACGACGACCAGGATAATGACTCGACTGTTTTATAGCCAAATTCATTGTATCGCGCTGCACGTTTGCAAACTTCGAATGGGGTTTTCTGTTCCGTCAATCATTTGAGTGGGGGCGAAGTTAGTGTTAATCACAATGCAACGCACTCGCCCAGCTTGGCCCCCTAAAACAAAACTGAGAATGACTCTAGACTGCTCAAGAGTAGCGAAGGAAATCGTGATGATGAGTGGTGTTTTTGTACAGCATAGTTGCTGGTGATAAAGGCGTTGGAATTGAAGTCCAACAGTCTTGCGTTCAAGTGCCGTTTTTACCACGATACCCTGTTACTTATTGTGCCGTAAATTCTGCTACAAGTAAATGAAAATCATTCTAGTCGGTACTTTTGCTTATTTGTAAAGTGGAACATCATTTTGCCACTTTAGAACGAGGAGAAAAACTTGGCAGAGTTAACTACGGGAAAAAGTGGCTAATAGCAGATCTGTGCATTCACAGTCCCCAATGATCCCAGAAGCAATTGTGGGATCCATTTTGGCTCCAGTTGCCTCCTTGTTTCTAAATTTGAGTGGCGAATGGGGTGTACATACAGTGTGTCTGCTGTCACCATTAAAATACCCATTCTGTTATTTTTTGTTTCATTTAGGAAGAGTATCGTTCTGAGGGAATTTCTCTTGATCAAGTTGTATTTACCGACAATAGACCTGTTCTGGATTACCCTGCCAGCAGAGTCGCTTCGATCTTTCCTAGATAAGATCGAAGGAGACTCTGTTCGCAGGGTAATTTTACTAAAAAATAAACTAGAAAAAAATTTGGATTTTTTTACCGAAACCATGGGTTAACCCCTTTGGAAAGTACCCATGTTTTGGACATTACAAAACTGACATTTTTATCGTCATTAAAAACTTGTTTTCTTTCTAGACCATTACTTCTACGGTCATTTTACAAGCTAGAAAAAATTTTGGATTTTTTGTCCGAAACCATGGGTTAACCCCTTTGGAAAATACCCTTTTTTTGGACTTTACCGAGGGCCGAATTAAAAATTTTTTGTACTATTTGATTCATCTGAGGATAGTTGTTACTTACTAATTTTACAGGGATGTTGAGCCTAGCAGGTATTCTTCAAGTAGGAGTGTTCATCAATGGAGTTATTTTTTTGCTGTTTTTGCCATGTGTTTAGGCAGTAGTCAAAAAGTTCGACTCTGTCTTCTTTGTAACACGTGTGAAAATTCCGCCATTTCCCTCAATCTTTAGCAACCTCGTCCCCAGAGCCTTTCAGTTGCCGTGCCTATTTGAAAGTTATCTTAGAAAACTGGGTCCCAAGTTGTGTTGTTGTTGTGAAGCGTTATAACATACACAAGTATCTAGAAACGCTGGTCACTGAGGTCTAACCCAACACAAGACGTCATCAAACCAAACTAAGTTCAATAAGTTACTTTTATTTCACGTTTGTACAAAATTGGAACGGACCCTATATTTTAATAAATAACTGTGCAATATTTGCATCATAACTGATCGCTAGGATCATAGCCGCTCTTATGCAGCCGTTCTCCGTGTTGTTTAGCGAAGCGTTTCGTGACGAGACCGAAAACGACTGCTTATGAGACAGGTAAGACCACACTGTGTCTTTAAATAACATTTTAAACGTAAATGGCAATTGAAAATACAAATGGCAAAAGTATTAACGACAGTGTACTCCAAATCAACGTCCTTTAATAAAAATCAAAATGATAAGTAATGGTAACAGGACTGAGTGGAGTCCAATTCGGTCTGTAATAATACGAGTGATTAACAAAATCGGACGACCGCGTAGCGGGAGTCCGATTTGTTTAATCACGAGCATGATTACAGACTGAATTGGACGACACGAAGTTCTGTTACCAATTAATTATAACTTTAACAAAATTTGTGATACAATAGGCTATTTTTTAAACCAAAACACAAGAAATTCGAAATCCTGTTTTGCTAGCAGTGAAAAAAAAAAAGCCATTTAAGCGCGCGCGTGATGGCGCGTACTGTCCAATTACTTAGGCATGACGCGTACTGTCCTATTAAACTGTCCAATTAAGGCTGAAATCAGGGCAGTTGAGAGCCAATCAGATTTGACAATTTTGTTATAGTTATGATTAACTTGCAAACGAAGCGCAAATTTTGCCAGGAACTTTCAATTTTTTTTAAATGAGCTTTTATAGTGACAATGGTTCAGAAATAATCAGCGCTACCTAGAAAAAGATCAGCCTGAAGCAATCTCAGTTAAATAAATCGAGAAAAATGTAAAAAATAACATCACGCTATAAGGTCACGCACACAACAAAACCGTGAGTGTGTGACTAATTCAAAAAACGTGAATTCTATGGCTAGCTAAATACTGGAACGCTGCTAAATTTGGCAAGATTGTAGGTTACAACTTCAATAAAATTGAAACAAACGTTATAACAACTCCACTTCTACTTTTCCCATTCCCATGGACCAACGAAAAATTATCCACAAAAAGGGTACATAGCTCGATAACTCTGATCAATAACTGATTGCCTTTAAATTAGAAAATTCTACCTGAAGTAGGTATATGATAAGTGCACCCAAATATAAACAGGGCACTACTTTCGTGAATTCATTTGGCGTGGAATATTATAATTTAAAATAGAAATGACCACACCTAATTGTGCACAGGACACCCAAGTAGAGGCACCTGATATATTCATTGTTAGTCATCAACTGAAAACAACTCTAAAAACTTATCCCATGACAGGGAACAATTATAACTGAACACTCCCCAACTGCAAGGAACAATGCCTTTGAACACAAGAATATTTCTCCCACGAAAAGAAAACTTGCTGACCACAAAATAATTTGCAATCCTAGAAAACTGTTGTGCAGCCGCAATACTTGGCTAGTACCGAAAAGGAAACTGGGCCGAGTTAAGTTTCGCAAAGACGTCTGGGACTTTTACAAGGGACAGGAAAAAATTGGCCAATAGCTGACCGGCGCTACGCCATCAACTATCCCAGAAACTACTGTGGGGCGGAAGTCGGCTCCAGTTCCCTTCTTGTTTTTATAGTGGCGCAGGCTTACATTAACGTTTTGGTGTATTAATTTAGTGTATACCCTTTCACTGCTCACCCTCAGTCTTGCATTCAGTCAAAGACTAGAATACTTAAAATGGCCTAACCCGTCAGTAGTACTTTAAAACGCATTATTAGTTTTTTTTTCGGGTATTTTACAGACCAAAATGTGAAATTGTCATCAAATGTTGACTTGAGCACTTGCGGGAGTAGAAGGGTACACACGTACGATATAAGAAGCTACAGAAGACTATAGAACTTTTCATACAAACGTAACGTAAATTAGTCGGAGAAGAGGCTTTTTCAAAGCTGTGCAGTGCTTGTTAATTTTTAAGTGACATTATTTTATCGCCTCAAAAGGCTCTCCATAATAAATATTAGTATGTTTAAATAAATCATACGGCTACTGAAGATGATAGTACGCGACAAGAACATTATTAACATGGCCTACTACTAGGCTTAGAAACCAGATAAATTTAAGACTACACCTTTATAATGGGATAGCCGAATTTCTCTTTTTTATATATCCGATCTCTCCAAGCAAAAACTTGTCAAGGAGATTTCTTTTTATAAATACACACTATTATTGCTGCTTACTAACAATTTCCCTATTGCCCCATTCACACCAAAGCTAAAACACGTTTAAAACCTGCTTAGCTAAGCGCCGTTTTAAATAGGCCATTTCCGAGTCCCCCAGGCCTCTGTATCAAAACGAGGTTAAGTGCTCAGCCTTTGATATCGAAATAATTTTTCATTCTCATGCAAATAAAACTCATTTTCACAAGAAAGGTTGTGTACTTGGTCTCAGGTTGAAAGTGAGGGATTTTGGAACTTGGAAGTGACCTACTGTTTTATTTGAAAGAGCTGCCTATCAATTTTTGTCAACTTCCATTTACCAGGAAGCACTACTGAAAGAACAAGTTTTAAATTTTAAATACCCTAAGTAAAAGCAGGTCTTTCAGTTTCCCGCGGACAGTTTTTTATCCTTTGCGCCTATCTTATTTATTTTTGTTCTGCTCGTGTGAATGAAACTATTATTAAACCACGAGGCTCATTTTCAAAGGCAAAAATTTTGTTGTCCCAGTTCAAGACAAAATGAAACAATTCATTAAAGTACCTTCAACATTGACTTTGTCTCTACGAAAATATTTTTCAGAGAACTGAATACAATTTTCAATTTCGAGTTTAGTATGAAATTTTGGCAACCCAAACTTCCGGTTATCTCAGTTAAAGTGATTTATGTAAAGGAACTCTATAACCGGTCGGTGCCATAATTAAACAAACCCACAACTGGATTTACATACAATAAAGAAGTTAAACAGGCAACTTTAAAAATTCCTGCTTGGTTTTTAATTACCAGGCTGGGACGTGACGTCACAGCACCCATGCTAGTGATCTCTTCGCTAGGAAACTAACCGGGCTCTGTTTCATGTAAATTCTAAGTATAATATTGGTATTGTATTAAGCTGAACACCAACATAGCCGTGTCGTACCTATGTGGTTGCAAATAGGAGGGACTAATGTCCTAACAACTAAAAGTTTCATTGCCTTGGTAACCCTACAGCTTAGTAACCTTGTCTCCGTACAAAGATGCGTAAGTAATTTCCAGATCACAAACGGTAAGGTGTTTCAGCTTCGTTTCATGAAGTGTTCGAAGATCTCTTAAACTCTGCAGAGATAAAATCAAGAATTTTAAATTAAACTTCAGTGGTTTGCTGCTTTTGGTGGCTTGCAAATGCATTTCCCACTGTTGTTTCTCTCCGAGAGATGCGGCTCGGTTCACAATATTTGCTTTAACGAAAGAACTCTGAAGGCAATAAAAACATAAATAAACTACTACCTTTTTCCTATCCTCGTCAAGAGTCTCAAAGAGTTTGTCATGTTCTTTCTCCAGCTCTTCTCTTTCTTTTTTGTGAAACTCAGTCATCTAAAAGAAGATAATACTTTCTACGAGTCAAACCTACACTCAAGAAACCAACAATTTTGAAATTTCTAAGGCATCAATTTTCGTTTAAAAAAATCGTAAAACGTCCATATATGTTGTCAACAGAGAATGAAACCAAACAAACCTTTTGTCTCTCCTTCACTGATTGCTCTATGTGCTTTTTGTTCTCTTCTCGTTTTCGTCTTAAGAGTAAAGAAGTCAACAAAAAATTAATGAGTATTCCAGACAAAAAGGCAAAAGCAAAAAGAAAGAGCATGGATGGGAACTCAATAAAATGTAAGGAAAAGATTAAGGTGATGAACAAGCATGCGGGCTTTACACAAGAACAGACTGGAAGGGTTGGAAAGGAGCAATGGCGATGAAACAGCAATGACGTCGATAATGGTAATGATGAGGATGATGATGATACTGATGATGGTGATGATCCAAGGAAGAACAGTCTAGTCAAGGACTAATAGCAGAGGATGGAGAAAGTAGACGAGAAATAGTACAGTGACTTTTACAAATAATGAGACAAAGAATAGGGAAGACAAAGAAAAGAAGCAAAAAAGAAATCCTGGCAAGAAATATTGAGCAGTTGCGTTAGCGGAGGTACAGGAAAGAAAACAACAAACCTTTGTAGTTCATCTCTATTTGTATGGTACCGCGACAGAAGCTTTAATTCCTGTCGATTGTGATCATCTTGGCCTTTTTTCAAGTCATTCATTTGTCTTCAAGGTAATAAAAATATTTTATTACAGGAAATAAACTAAACTGTATGCTTATAAAAAAAAAGGCGGCAAAGGGAGTATTTTGGTTGACATTTTCCCTCTTTTTCATGCAGAAAACAAGACTTAGAGAAACATTACGAGAACAAAACCATTTTCGTGGGCAAATCAGAGGATGAAAGAGTACAATAATGAGGTCACTGGAAATATGGGAATGGAACAAAATAAAAAAAGCAGTTTTTACTTGGAATGCACATCCGCCAAAAGCTTCATCTTATCTTCTTGCGACAGACGCATCAGTCTTTCCAGCTCTTCTTGTTTCTAGACATAATAAAAACAGAAGGATGCCATGTGAATGGGGTAGTGACATTTCCAGAAAGGAAGTATTCAAAAAAGACGTTCTGTAGGAAGGCAATATGGTGTAATGATCATTATAGCGTTAACTATAGTTTTCAGCCAAAGTAAGCAAGGACGTTTTTGAGCAATGCACGTCAACTGGAAGTGGAATTTTTGCATTCTAGGGCGGAAGTTTTGCCCACATTTTCGGCAGATCGTCTCTATAAGAGAAAAGACATTTAGACATTCAAACTTCGACACTTTCGGAGGCTTCACTTCCGGTTGACGTGCTTCGCTCAAAAATGCTTTTGCCTGAGCGAATGCCTCTCCCCATTAAAAGCGAGACTTTTCGTATTGTAAGACAGAATCAATTGGCTATTTTCACGATGACGACATCTGACTCATCCTCGGAGACCCAGGGGCGGTCAGTCGGGCCGGGAGAAAAGGCGCGACAAAAGTTTTCAAGCACAGGCCCGCCTGACTGCCCCTGGGTCTCCGAGGATACATTTGACTAAAACTACCGGATTTCGTTTCGCTTTTGCTTTCCTATTCAGATTTGTTAATCCCGGCGACGTTTGAAAAAAATAGCCTTAATTTTCTCAAGAACAACAAACTAAGGCATTCTGGTAGTCGTAGTAAAATGATGTCATCGTGCAATTGTCTTATAGCTAGACCGCAAACAGCAGGTTGCTAACTGGTTGCTCCTTACACCGACCCCTTTACTACATTAATAAAGGTTATTGAACATTTGGGGACGTTCCATGGCCGCTCTAAATATAAGAGTATAGTGATTGCCTATCCACCTACAGGATGTAGTTGTTTCTCTGCTAGCTCCAGCTGTTCGTTTAGTTGCTTTCTGAGGAGTTCAGTCATCGAGTCACGGTGTGTACGTTTCAGAGAATTAATCTGAAAGTCAAAGCAACACAAATAAACAAGTGAGGTCAATTTACGTTAATTCCACGTCAAGGCAAAAAGACGCCAAAATCATTTTAGGCGTAATTTTAAAAAGTGGAGATTAAGTTAGAAAAGTCTGTAGGATAAGCAAAGGGGAAGATTTTGCCTCTAGGATTCTGGGATACCCCACTCACCGCAAAGATCTTGAAAACAAGAAGCTCGGAAATGTTATTTTGAGTATTTTCTGTCATGCATTTGTTAAGAAGTTATTAAGAAAAATAAACGCTTGTCCTTAGAATTTCAAAAAAAGAAAAAATCTTTGAATGCGAAATATAACAAGAGAGGATTTAACCTCTAACTTCTTGTTTTATGGAATCCCATAAGTTATTTCTAACACGCAAGTGCGCATGCACTGGCGAACAGGTTGATACGTGTCTGAGTAGGTTTTTTATATTTTAAAATACAAGAGGATAAAAGGGACAAAAGTAACACCAAGGCGTTTGATATATATCTTTTATAAAGAGTTTATAGACTGTGCGTCCATTTAGTCATATACGCCGTCAACATTTCAACGATTATTTGTTATATAAGCCTGATGGTAGTTTAGGAAAAGAGAGTTTACCTGCCAGAAATATTAGAACTTTATTAGTGCTGAGTCATGATCAGTTAAAAATTAATTACTACAAGCTCAGAATTGTAGGGAATGAAGTAAATGTATCAATATATATATAGCTGTTCTGAACGCGTTTAAGGAACTTCATGCCCTCGTTTTGCGCTTTAACACGTTTCTTTGAGATGAAAGATTTTACACTCAATTAGTATTAAACCTGCATCACCTCGTTTCTCATCCTTACAACTCATGTCACAGAGTATATAGAAATATTTTAAATTAATCAGAGCAATCACAACTGACATCACCACAAATGATTTGCAGTTTCGGCGGCGTTACAGGTTTGCGTCTTGTATTATTGTATAACAAAACGTTTGGCAATTCCTAAGTTAGTACACACTCTATGACTGGTCAAATAATGGAGATATTTCCATCTCGAAAAGATCCCAAACTGGTACTTTCAAACCCAGTTAACAATTTTAAACTTTGATTACCATCAGTAACCATCCTTCTTTCAAAAGATATATGTACTGTACTGCCTACATAACAAACATTGAGACTGAATAAGAATCTGAGTTTATGATTGTCACTGGGGAATCAGTAGTCTCAAGTTTACAAAAGTCATACACTAGCTAGTTACATTTATGTTCTTCAAAACTGATGTTTAGTTACCATTAATCCGTCAATGATGAATGGACGTTTTTATATGATGTACCTTGCTAAGGTATATTTCAACCTTTTAGGATATTTAACATAAATGATGACACTTCCCTTCACGAAGAACAACATTTTGCTTAATTCTGCTTGCTATATAACCAACATTTTCATGAAATTAAAAGTTGCTAAATTAGGTTATGCGGCAGTAGAGCTTGAATTAATCAGTTTCTTGTATTCAATCAAAGAATTAGTTAAGCAGAAAATTGACAAATCCGAAAACTCTTGATTGTTGTTACCATGTTAAACCACGAATACTGTGATGAACTCCCCCCAAACCCTTCCCACAAAAAAATCTGAAGTTTTTTTCGTTGTGCAAACAGTGTGAGCATGAACATCGTAATGCAAAAATACAGTGGCATATACTAACACTTATCTCTCCGTCAGGATCAATTGTCGGTACCTAAGGAGTTCCAAGAAAACAAACCAAACCAATTTTAAGCAAGATGTTCCGTTCACATTGATTTCACTTTTAGTGCAATGTTGTGCAGTTTATACTCTTTCACACCAATGCTTAAACATGTTCAAACGTGAACGGTTTTTGGCTCCGAACTTGACGTTCTTTAAAGACGCTTTCACCGCTCAACAATGGTGATGTGTCCGTTCGAGACGTGAGCTTTTGTAATCTCTTAACGGCGGACAAATTTTTGCCTTGTTAAGCGCCTTTAATTTTCTTTATTTATTGTGGTAACTACAAATACTGTTTATTTCATATTAATTCCAAATTTTAGGGAACATTCTGAACTTCATCTAAATATGATTAAGCAATGGAGTATACATATTGTACTTTATTGGTGCAATACAAGGAGTTATGAGTGCTGCTCAACTCAACTGTCTGTCTGTTATCCTGGTGATTTACCTTTGACACAGTTATAGATTACAACACATCGTTAACACCATGCCACGATACAAAACGAAAATACGGTATCAAATAGAAAAAGTGAGAACTGCTTTGATAAAAATGCAACAAATTATAGACACTGACTGAAAAAAAAAAATCACGAAATTGCAAAAACGTCAAGAGATGGAAAATCATACTTCGTGCTAGAAACATACAAGGCATTATGTATGTAGCATGTAAATAAAAAATGTCAGATACATTGTTGGATTTTATTGAAGCAACTGCGAGAGATTACCAAAAACAGCCGGACAACAAAATGACTAATTCATGAAGAAAACATACAACACTGTGTACAATAACAACACGAGATATAATGTATTACAAAAAATTGGTCTAAATGTTATCATACACCGTGGCAACTAATTACATAAATCAAGTTAGATTCCTTTATCAAACCCCAATACTTTGTTGGACAAAAGCATTACAGACACAATATGTCTGTACAATACGCTGCATGCTTGAGAAACAATATGACTAAAGGGAAGAACATAAATAATACCAAATAACACTGAATGAATTCAAGTGTTAAGGATCAGTCACATCATTTACAACCTGATTGTTCCTTTTTTGATACTTTTCTGCTGTCTTGTGCCACTGCTCGCGTTTTTTTGTCAGGTTTTTGTAATTAACCTAGCTCTTTTGCTCTGGTTACCCTACCTTGGTTTCATGGCCTCGGACTAAGTCGTTCATATCCCCCACTCCTTTACGGTAACTTTCTTCATAGTTTCTGCAGATGGAAAACACAACAAGCAAGGTAATTCTTCCATTGTCAGTGTTTAAAAGTCATTGACAAACCGAACGGTCGTCTTCTTTGAGGGACGAATGTCTGTGAAAGGTTATAACACTCAGAATACTGACTCTAGAACCCTAAGTAAGGTAAAACATCCCATAACTACCAAGATTTGACGGTCACTTACATACTGTGGTGATATAATCATCATCATCATCATCATCGTCATCATCACCTACACTATATATAATTACCATCATTATTATTTTTCATCAGTGATACTTACCCTTTTTTCTCTGCCTTTTTAAGCTCCTTGTCATTCTTCTTCTTTGTTGAAAGTTTTTCCTTATCCAAGTCTTTGAGTAACTTATCTTGCGCTAGTAAGTGGCTCTTTTGCAGTTTGTCTTTCTCCTAATAGTTACCAAATGTATGCATTAGGGCATAATGAAAGACTAAAACTTTTTAAATACTTGACGTTTATTTTTCTTACCCACGTAGAACTGTGTTCACACTAAGTAACATGTTCAGCGCTACTTTGCTTTGTCATTTTGAGAGCAATGAGATAATTTCACTACTTAAAGAAGCACTGAATTCTTACCTTCTCATGTCTTTTAACAATCACATCCATGTCTTTTTGATGCTTTTGATTCAGCTTCAAAAAGGCCTAATGGAATTACATAAAGAGAAGTACATTTACTAAAAACACTTTACCTGCCGTCAGTGATGTAATGGTTTAGGGAACACTGAGGATTTGGCACGTTTCTATTTTTCTTTTCTCTTGTCGTGTTGCTTTAGGACGATTTTTTAAAACCTTAGTGCCCCACTCTTACAAGTTATTTAACGTTAGCAGCAAATGACAATAATGTTTAACAAAACCTTGGCAACAACATAACAAAAGCCAACCTTCTGTTCCTTAAGTTCACTAACGGAAGCTGGTTCTACTTTTGTATCTGAAAAAAATAATGAAACGGGAAATCACTTATGTTGGGTCCACTGAAAACCTTCCATAACAAACTCTTCATTGGGGGAGGTTATGGGGATGACCATTAGACCCTGGGGGGTAATTCAGAATTAAGATCTATAGCATTCGCACATGATTATGATTGAGTGCTGGGCTTCTAATGCCATACAAGCAGGCTCTCGCGTTGGGAATTGGCGCCAATTTTCGTGTTGAGTCGAGCAGGGGGTTAATGGCCGACTTGTGTCTTGGATTCAGTGCTCTGGCTCTGGCTACCTCTGCAGACAATTTATTACAAGAGGGGGTGGGGGAGGGCAAAGAGAGTGGGAGTTACATCACTCGCTTCTCTACAAGTAAGCATGCAAAAACATCAACCTCATACCAAGGGCTTTTCCCTCAGACAAAGGGAGGGGAACAAGAGAAAAGCCCTGGGAAAGAGATTGCAAGAAGGTTAGATAATAAGTACCGTAATACATGATAATAAACAATTATTGGATGAGGTTGAGCAGGTCTGTGTTATCTGCCGAAGCCGAAGGCTGAGGCAGATAATACAGACACGAGGTTTTGATAATTCATGATATCATGCAAAAACCGATTTCAATAATTGTTTTATTATACATTTTTTAAACAATAGGCAAAAGAAGACATTCAGCCATTCTGTTTCTGAGGAGAACACTCCAAGGGGCTTGGTAACCAGGCAGACGTTGAACTTGACATGATAAATGCAATATCTGCAGCAGATATTGCATTTATCATGTCAAGTTCACAAGCTATTGTGAATTGATTGAATGCTCTCGACCAATCAGATTTTTCATAGTGAGTCTGATGTATAATAAATATATTTAATAATATGTTTTTTAAAAGGCTGATGTAGTTATCAGGATGAATTCTGTTGACATAAGAAAATTCAGCCCAGACAGTGAGTCATGAGTTTACTGAGATGAAAGTGTGCATATCATAGCTGTATGAAAGATCCTTTCCTGGAATTTGAAGAATTAATTCATCACTACTTACTTAATATTCTGACACACGTGCTTCACTACCCATTACCAGTACAAACAAAGTATTTAATATGCCAATGCACGCAGGAAAATACTCAACTTGTATTCTTACTTAGTGTGTTTATAACTGTTCCTCAAAAACAGAAATAGTGAATATACCTGGTGAAGTATTACATGATTTTAAGTACCAGTTATAATATAAATTTACATTTTTAACGAAATATAAAGCAAATTACAGAGAGACTAGGAAACAAAAGCAGCTTGTGTTTATAAGTTGTTAATTTAATGAACATGGAAAGCAAACCTACAAAAATGCTGGAATGCCATATGTTCTTCTTTAATACTACCTCCTAAAGAAAGGAAATGGCTTTTAATTTTAAAATATCTACATGCAACAGTTAAAGTCACTGGAAAAAGAATGTAGGCTCTTGTTATTTTAGCCTTTAACTGAAATGTTAGAAATTTTATGAGGTTATGTTTAGCAGAAAGTATCGTTAAGAACTGAGTGATATTAGAACTTATTTGTTCTTATGGTATTAAGTTTGTTATGACGCAAATTAAGGCTGCGTTCGCAATGACAGAGTCAAAGAAGTAATCTGAAGGGCAGAATGGGCAGAGTTAGGTACTTTACCTGCTAACATGATTGTCGGAGTCGCAAGTGGGAGTTTAAAGAAATTACAATCCACAGACATGAACACTGTGATTGGTTTACTGGTATTCTTTGGCTTCAGCTTACAACGCCAACAATCTTGTTTTCACTAGATTGTTATAAAATTGAGAGAGACTAAAATGGAGTCATAAGAAAATGGAAACCTTCTGATTCTTGTGACTCCAACTTCTTAAAGCTTAATGAATGTATGTAACACTCTGATTTTGGATTTTCTTTCTACTTCATTAGCCTTCTAACGAGTTTGCATTCTTTGCTTTTAAGATACACGATGTTAAATTTATTTGTCCTCCTAGCAGTAGGTTAATTATTAAGGACTAAAAATGACCTTCCTTTAGGTGAGTAATTTTGATAAAGGTTTATTAATGTTAAATTATTAAAACAACCTTGCAGCTGTTAATATTGGTGTTAGATTACATTTATGTTACATTAAAATAAATTATTATTTTGTGACATCAATTTTCTCCCTAAAAAATAAAGCCACAAGTTCATTCACAAAATTAAAGCGAAAGTTCACAAATTACACATTAATTAAAGATGGATTATGATTAAACTTTTCTACAGTTTAAAACTAAGAGGTAAAAAGCTAATATTAAGGATGAGAATATAGACTATGTACTCACCTGATGGCTCCCATGTGGGCTTAAGACGTTAACTTTAACAATTTTATTTTACAAGCAGGAATTCTGATTAAAAAAATCACAGCACTCCAAATTTCAGCTTGCAATCTAATTCATATCATTAAATTAATGGTTTAGGCCTTTAAAGGTATATCTTAGGGAGTTAAAAGATGCTCCTTGCTTAATTAATTTTTTTACTCCTTTTTTTTTGTTTAAATACATGTTGAATTCTGCATTTAATCCTCAAGCACAGCAATAATTTTGATGACTTTTAACCAAGTCTTTATTTCAGATTTAATGTCAATACAGCACATTTCCCAAAAACTATTATCCTTTTTATACCTTCCTTTTAAAACATATATTTAACTCTTTTCCTTACTATTTTTCCCAGGATATTGTCAGTGGCTGAAGTTTGACATCTCACAAAATCGTTTGCTATCGTCAGATATGTTAAAAGGTATTTCTTAGTATGTTTATAATCTGGCCCAAGAAATCAGCTACACAAAGACAGCACTTTCTTGCACTTAATGTTTTCAGTGGTTCAGAGAGCAATTTTTAAAAAAAGCAATTACAAAAATATTGAAAATAGAAAAGACACACGACAGGATAAGAAGTCTTTCCCACATGAGATCCTCCAGGCACTTACCTTCACTGCTAAAACAAATAAGAGAGTGCGTCTTGCCTTCTCGCCTTTTGGTGCTTCTGGCTCTTCTTGCAAGAGGATTTTTTTCCATTACTGGGGGAGCCTGGAGTGACAAAGAGCGTGACGTGATAGGATGAGACATGGGTGTTTTCATTCCTGAGATGCTGTCCCGAGAACTGTCTCGTCTCAAGCTCAAGCTTTCTCTGAACATAAAATCTGAGCCACGCCTCTGACTGAGATTGGGTATTTCAGCAGCAAGTGAAGCTGTGAAGTTAAAAAAGATTTCATAAATAAATGAATGAATAATGCATCCATTGTTGAGTTATATAAGCAAGTGGAAATTGTTTACTTATTGAACTCACTGTTTGTGTCATTTCTTTTAATTGATTTCCTCTTCTGTTCCTTTATTGGTAAGTTACTTCCTTGTTTTACTGCGTTCACTGGCTTTGATCCATCATCCTGGACCTTTTCAGTCTGAAAGGAATCGTGAAGAAATGACAGAGAACAATAACAAGAAAAGGATCAATTGAAGTCTCTGGGTAACTAACCACCTACCCCTCCCCAAGTCACAATTTTGCCCCAAAGTGAGAAGTAAGTGTTAATGATGACTTAGGGGAGGGGTAGTAGGTCAGTTATTTAGAAACCTCAATTACTGATCCAAAGAAAACAGCAGACATATTGAGATTTTTACTGAATTTCATTTATCACCATCATCATTATCATAATCACTGACTGTTAGCCAAACTGTTCAGCCTTGGGATCAAGCCATCTACATCAAAAGGATTACTGACTATTTGCTGCAGAGACTACAAGGGGTCAATATTATCACCATCATCATCATCATGACAAGCAGCAGCAGCATTGTTAAGTAGATAATCATCATTACAATGTGCCAGCTACATTTATATCCCTAGGCAAAGAGCCTTACAAATGTTACTAAAAGAACTAATGTACATTGTCATATAATTTCTTTTGTACCATTTTCCTGAAATATATGCTTAAAAACTTACATCTTCAAGGTCTTCCTCATCTAATAATGACTTTAACTGCTCTTGTCTTTTGTCAGCTTCTTGATGATAAGCAATAGGATCACAAAGAGCAGCAGCAAAATCTGTCGGCAAAAAGAACAGTAAACTGCATGCTAGACTCCAAAATTTGCACAAAGTTCACATGGTGATAGCATTCACTTTGAGGGTGCATTGCATTGATCATTTTTTGGAATAAGAATATGCAAAAATTTTGTAACAAATCTCTTCTAGTGTGTTTTCCTGGACTACTGGAATGCTAAATGCAACTTCTAATTTTATTTTTAGGTGGAGTTTAGTTATCTCAAAGCAATGGACGCTGAAACAAGTAATTTCTAGAGTTTATTCTATCCATTTCAACTCCCATATACAGTCAATTGAACACACCCAAAGTGGTAAATTAGACACAACATTTCCACAAGGATACACAACCTACCTTCAAAGCCTGATGGAACATAGTCTTTGGTAACTATGTGTACAAACAGTGTTGGCAAACAAAGGGGCTGATTTGACTCATTCCTGAGCTTGATGTGTCGATAACCTGCCAACAAAAGATCATAATCAAAACTGCCTTTGATCCAAGTATGCATATATTTCCTGTCAATGATTTTCATTGCATACAGCATTATGAACTTTTGCCAAGCATTATACCTGGCAAGTAGGATAGTGTGGATAGGATGTAAGACACTGTGTCTTAAGAATGATCACTACCATTTCAGGATTATAAAATTAAATGGGTACAGATGGTATACTCTAACTAGGGTGACCTTGTGATGAAGTAGCATCTATTCCAAAAAGATCAAAAATACTTTTTCAAATTACTTGCTTCATTCTCAAGAGACTGAGTTAAGAGCCAGCTGCATAACTCCAATGAATTTCTAGTGGAATCATCTTCAAAATGAACATTTAAATTTTGAGACATTATAGCCTAGAGGCTAATAACTTAGACAGACATCAGTTGAAAAACAAAACTTCCTTTTTCAACCCACCTGGACTAAGACCATCAACTGGTAAAACTCTCTGGCCAATGAATTTGCCACTTTCTTCATAAACGGCTATTCTTAGAACTGCTAGACTTGGAAGAACCACCTGATAATATACAAAATACAGTTACATCTTAAATCAGAACATATGATGACAGTACATGAAAGGAACAGAAGCAACATTGATGCCACCAAGCTATGCTTAAAATAAAAAAAGTGTCATGAACAAACTGAATTACATGTCAAGGCTTATCAAAAAATGCAGGGTTTTGATGGGGGGAAATTGCGGGGGAGAGAACAGGGCAAGCTTAGCGAACACCTGCAACTCTCTGGATCCACCCATGATATGGGTGATGTCATGAAGATGATAACCAAGTGGCCCAGTTCCTCTCTAAACATTCAAGCCATGTTTACCTTTTTGAACACAAAAGGCTCTTCCTCGTAGACTGGATTGATACTATTATTTGGTATAACTTTTGTCTTGTACTTTCTTCTGACAGTGTCGGCAGGCAAGCCAAACATATCTACTTCAACGTAGGTACCGACCTTCTTTTCTGATAACCACTGGCCAGAGATAACCTATTGAAAGATAAAAGGTAAGGTAAAGGCGCACACAAACCAAAGGCCCAAATGGCCGGAACTTATCCCAGTTTGCTTAGCCTGAAGGATGCTAAGGACAGGATGCTAGTCCATCCCAGGGTCCCCTCCCACTCAGCAGCATATCGCCCGTACCCATTTATACACCTGGGTGAGGAGAAACAAAGTGGAGTAAAGTTCCTTGTCTAAGGAAACAATGTGACGGCAAGGCGTGAACCCATGACCTCCCGATCTAGGTGTTAACTGCTGGGCCACACATGCCTCCACTAAAAATCACCAAAGATATCATTATCCTACAGAATCTTTGATCTCCCCACAACACTGTTCTTAAAGCAGAACCTACAATGAATTTCTCTGTTGTCCAAGCTAAGCAGATTAATATCATAACCCAGTTCTAATAATTCAAGAAGAATACTCAAAATTCAGAAACATGAATGCATAGGGCAAGCTTCCTGTTTACATTAAAATTCACCACTGAGTGATTAGTAATTAGCTCTCAAATACACGTCGAGAAATCTAATAGATGCAGGTCATTGTGCAATTACCTTTACTGTGACTGCACCAGCAATAATTCCATCCACTGTTGACTCAACAAAAGGGTCAAATGTTTTATCAGCACGGCACATAAAACTGGGCTTGAGGACATACCTGAAACAGTGAGAACTTTTCTCTTGACATGTGCATCTTTTTAGAGTGACATAAATTGCACACACAACGGCAATATTATTATAACTTCCCCTTTCAACAAAACTAAAGATGACCCAAAGTGACCTTTGCTTTTAATTAAGTGAAAAAAAATTTGGCTTAATCCTATTTCAGTTCTAAGAAGACAATCTTACTTACTTACCCACAGCGCCCATTATATTCAAAAACTCCTTGATTTAACATCATTCCTAAGTCTTTAAAAGAAAAAAAAATTGCAAGTGATAAGGATGATGATATAACATTCACAACAAAAAAGCGATGTAAATGCCTTACCTAAAGTTTGATAATTGAGAGCAACTAATTGGCACCCAGCATTCCAGAAAACCTGTACAACACAATAAAAAATTGTTATAAAGCTTTCTTCCTCAAAGTAACAAGTGGTAATTTATGTAAGATATCTATATGCAGTGACTCTTATGCTACATAAATATTATTATTATTTAATACAATTTTTTTAGCAGATAAAAGGCTGCTAGATTTTCTTTTCTAAAATCCTTCTTTGGGTTGGTGACTTTGCAAAACTGTACAATCCTAACTCTGGGCTCACCTGTGGCATGTAGTTTTCAGATCCAACTCGGGTTCCCTTGGGGTAAATTCTACTCAGCTGACGCTTGTTATAACTTTTTGTCATTAAGAAATATTAAATTTTATTTTACATGAGTTAATTAAGTTACAGTACATAATTGGTAGTAAAGGTCTCTCAACTAAACCAAAGATAGAATCAATGGAAATAAGGAGAGAGTGAAAAAAGGGAGGCCAAAATGGAGCTTAAAATAGCGGTTCAGAAATTGGCAAGGAATGGTAAGTACTCTCTACAATGTATCTTTCTCTTTTGACCTGTTTCTGTTCTGTTTCACGTCTGAAAGGAGAAAACAGAAGGTGCAGTAAAGGATACTTGACAAATTCTACAGGTTCAACTTTTAGAACGGTTGTAGCCGTTGTTTCAACAAATGATGACATCTCAAAGCTTCTGTTAACAACTGTCAAGAAAAAGGAACTACAGTTGCTCATTTTGCTTGCAACAATTTAGACTGGCAGGTACAATCATAAGGAATGGGGGTAAGCCAACAGTCCAAACATCACACTTCACTGTGTTTATTTCAGAACCGTCTGAATATAAATTATTAGCATAGCCCAAAATAAGGCATCTAATGAGTCTCTGTTAAAACAAATAATGTTTAAACTATTTTAAGCATCAAATTGTAACTGAGTAAGATACTATCCATACGGCATCTACTCGCAGATATCACGCAACGATCTGTTCTCTTAGAAACCGTGGAGAACCACCATTGGATAATTTATAAATTCCATCTGCTTTATTATAAACGTGGTACAATAATATCATTGATGGCCAACACTAGGCCATTGCTTGTGCATATTAACGAGTTTCCACAGATACCAAACAGATGACATGGCATTTAAACAACATAATAAATATATGTATACTGACCAGCAGCAACTTCAAAGTTTTTAAAGTGAACAGGTTGGATGTAGTTTACAAGAGCAGAGAGTTCGTTCTCTGGTGCTACCTCTTCTTCATCCTAAGTTTTGCAAACAGAATAAGATTTAAACATTAGTTTAAAATAGTAAAAGGTTTGAACTCAGGAGTAAATTCATAAGTAGGTGGGATATGACTGTCTGGGTGAGTGTGGTCCTGTGACTGACATTTCGAAAACCTGTGCTGTAGTCATCTTGAGAGTCAAAGTGAAGTGTATCACGTCATCAGTTGATGATTATGAAACTCTGGATATCGACCTGATTGGTCAATAAAGTCACAATGTTATAGGTCGTCCATCAGGTAAGCCATGATGTTATTGGCTATGAAGACTCTAATAATGTCATTGGTGCGTTTTGATTCGTGTTTTGTCACTATTTAATAGTTGTTAAAACATCACTATTCTGCCTGTTTCTTATTCAGGGGCCTACAAATCTACAAATCCAACCTTTGAGCATCACAACGGTTTAATAAAAATATGATATCATTGGTCATGAGTTAAACACTTAAAGACTGGTCCCGGGAGAAACAGTTAATTTTGTTTCCCGAGAATCTGAAAGTGATTTGTTGTATAGCTTACCAGGAAAAGCTTTTTAAGTGTACAAATTCATGAAAATAAATCTTGTGAGCAGTCAACATTTGCAGGTAACAGTGCACTGTTACTCTCTGACATCATAGATTTTGCAAAGTTGCCTGTTCAGAGATTTTTTTGGGGGAAAATTTTCATTGTTAGATGTCATGTGACCCAAACGTAACCGATGAAAGCATAAACGCTGTTGGGAAAAAATTTCAAGCTATAAAACAATGGCTGTTACTTTACTTACAATTCACTTACCTTATCGTTATCAATAATTTGTTGTGGATTGTCAGTTGGTACTTCTCCATTGAGTGTGTCCACTTTGCTGTCAGAACTTGTCACTGTGGTACTTGAGTCAGTTGTAGGTTTTTCTGAATCAACACCTACTATTAAAGTGCAAAATAACACACTTCAGCTTTGTAATGTATTCTCCACTCTGTACTACAAACATTTCCTTACGTACTGATGTGGTAGCCTGTTCAGATGTATTTCTTTTTTATTTGACAATTTGACAGCGTGCAAGAGCAAGAGCAAGAGTGCGAGAACGAGTGCAAAGCCCACAATCTTGTGCTTGTTGTCAATTCGAAGCAGTTTATAATTCCATACAGGCAAAGAGGAAGTAATGAGACTGTGAACTGGCTACTGATGAGGAGAATAAATATTGGTTTAATCAACCAATACCTTTTACAACTGGTGATAATTCCATTACACTCATCTTTCACTTTTCAGCGCTGACATTACAAAGTGCAAACAAAACTATATACTTCCCCAGAATGATTTAATACAAAAACATTTAAAATCATCTTCCACGTTAATTTAATAAACATGTTGTTCAGTACCTTCCTCAAGTTTTTTTGCTTTCTTCTTGTTCTTTATCACTATCCTTCTTAACAAGGCCTTTGGATGTGGAAGAGACATCCCTTTTTCGAGCTTTCAAAAAAAAAGCACAAATTCCATTTAAAACTACGTGTTTCTGTATCACACAGGGCTGTCACTAAGATCTCAAGTTGCCAGGTAAATATGACAAGTAGGCGGGGAATCAAACAGCTAGGGATTTCTTTTGGTTCTGTTTTTTTCCTATTTTCCTTAGTATGAAAGTAGCCGGGGGCCACATTCTTGGTAGCTGGGGGAAATCCATGGTCCCAGGCTCTCAATCACAGGCCTGGAGCTAACTATTTTTTATATATATGCATTATTGACCAAGCCTGTTCAGTCAAGATGGATGGATATGGGCCAAGTTCTTTTTCGTGTTTTCAAGTCAATAAAAATGCAAGAAAAAAAACAAGGCCAACATTCAGCCATATTCAAATAACAAGCTTGGTCTTTAAAGGATTTATTATATGGCCAAAAAGAGAACTTTTTCGTGCGAAAAAAATGCTGGAAATCCTGAGTGGGCAAGATGGACCCATCTTTCTTGCTCAGGTAGCCAATCAGAATGCAGTATTTGCTTCATCTTGCCCACTCGTGACACAGCTATATATTTATAATAGTAATAATATATACTATGAATTAAGTAGCAAAGGAAAAGTGTGCTTTTGCTTATGTTTTTTTTTTATGTATTTCAATAGGTAGCACTGATCAGTGGCCTCTGGTCCATTTTCTCCTTACTGTTTTTTCAATGTAAAATTACTTTATTCTTAAGTTATGTTTAATGGTATGTATACACCTATAATTTATATGTGAAGACGTTTAGATTTACATCTACACTGTGATGGGGGAAACTGGAGTTTCCAGGCCTGCACTTGCAATGAATTTGAAAGACAGCTATGCAATTATTTAAAGTACTAAACAGCCCAAAATAAATCATGGAAAGACAAAACATGGCTTACAGGATAATCATCCAAAGGTTTATCAAGGAGCATGTCACCAAAAATATTGACACAGTAAGCTGCCATCTTAGCCTGCTGCTTAGCACTGAAAAACAGTAGAAAATAGAAGGATTATAGAAGGCAAACAGTCGAAGCTAAATAAACAGGTCTCATAAGCCATCACCTATCCAATACACCACACTCAATTTCCAATTAAAAGCACTTAATGAAACCCGTTATGTACACTATGATAAATTTTATCCCTGGTTTAATTTTATTTTCCATTGCCTTATCGAAAAGTGTGATAATCTGACGACAAAATTGAACCAAAATATATATCTAATTCCATAAAGGCTGCATTGGTAATTGGTCATGGGCAATTGGGCATTGTGCAGTTGGGCATATGTAGGGCATACATGTATGGAACTTGCTGCAATAATGTGCTTGAGTGAACCTCCCCATGGGAAAAACAAATACCCAAAGCAACCTTTATTGGATCACCTAATTATAGAGATCAGAACAAAACAAGACAGAAGGGGGTTGTTTACATTCACAAAAAGTTTATGGAAAACACAGCTGAAACTTTTAAGGTTATCTCTGTGGAAAATTTTAGCAAGAGATCAACAAATTTTAGTACTTTGGGAGGTTTTTGCAACTGTTATAAATTAAATACGTTGCCGATAGCAACGCATCCCCTAAATTCCCTGAAGGGTACTTTTGCATTTTGAGCGCGATGTTTAAAATTCAGTTTTGAGCTAGCAGTTGACATGAAGAGAAGAACTGAGATATAGAAACCGAAGACCCAGAGACAATTCACGTTAGCGCAAGTAGTTTTTTCTAGGAGTTTTTTCATCCTTTAGCGAATTTCTCGTCAGGATATTTGGCCTTTTTCTCCTTTTTCAGCGAATCATTCTGTTAATGGAGTGAAAAGAGGTGAGCCCGATTTCGACGCGTGAATGGTGAATAAACTTGAATTGTTAGAAACTACTGAGACACTGAGTGTCAAATGAATCTTCAAGAACAGGGAAACGACGACAACAGTAACAGCTTTGACTGTTATACTCAACTCTTGACAAACAGACACCTTGTTACTTTACCTGCAGTGATTTTCAAAAGAAAGAACAACTGGATAATCAGATGTCTTGAATGCATACTCTGCAATAGCTTCAATAACATCCTACAACAAAACACAGCAAATTATCACTTATTAACAATCAAAAAAGAATCCTCAGAGATTTACAAGGTAGTAGTGGAAGCTAACTAAGTGATATTGGTTCTGGCTTTTTCCAATCTAAAAACTAGATTCTAAAATCAAGAGCTGTAAGTCCTGGCAGAAAGTGAGAGGAGGAATAAAGTACATTGTTGTGTGTCCCTGTCAGGGTGCAAAGAAAGTCAGTTTTACAGCCTGCCATTCAGGCAAGCTGTAGCTAGCATGTACTAGCCCACAAGTCATTTCAACTAGCCCCAAAACCCTTTTTGATTAGCAGGATTGACTACAATCTTTCTGTAATTTGAATTTCCCCAAAAAACAGCACTTGCCCATTGGGCAAGTTATTAAAACAAAAATCACTACCCCAATAGCAAAATCTACTAGCCCCAGGCTACCGGCCATGACTTTCTTTGCATGCTGGATACAGATTTATGTACATTAATGACACCATGATATGTAGAGATTCTACTTTGTAAGAAAGTAAGGGACAGGGTAGGGATATTTTATACGTTGCTGGTATTGTGCTTCAAATTGCAACTGAACAGGGTCTTGTATGGGCTGAGTGTTTGTGATTGGCAGTTGCAGCCACCCACCTACCCACCCACCCACAATATTGATTGCCCGAGGTACCACCCCCTGAGAATCAAGTCTGTTGCTGTACTGTTCAGCCTTTTGAACCCAATTCTTACCTTGAATGAAATTTCGGTGCAAAGTGTCTTTCCATGTGTAATAATTGGTTCTTGTTCTTCTGTTCTTCCATCCCAACAATCTAATTCCAAACAGCGGCAACCAGCCAATAATGCCTGCCTGTACATTTCTACTGATGATTTTCCCGTTAGCTGATGACCTAACAAAAATTAAAATACAGCCGTCAGAAAAAATAGTACTGTGTTACTCCAGAAAAGATATCTTTTTTTGTGAGTGTATAAGTTGGTGTTCTACTTCTCTGAACAATAAACAGGGACGTTAAAGCAAGAATGTGTACACATTACCTGTTAGATATGTGTTGTGTGATGAATTGATAAAATAATGTGACAAAGGACGCATCATATCTTGATGGAGAGAGAGGCGATCGTGGTTGATTATAAAGTTTTCATCACTCATAAGATATCTTGTAAGTCCTTGCACTGAAAAGTGACCTGAAAATGAAACACCATTTTACTCTTTCTACTAGTGGATGATCAATGTCCAGCTAACATGTACATTATAACAGGACACTTTTATAGAACCATCAGGGCTTGAAAAAACTAAATTCCAGCTTATCCCTTAGGCAAGCAGCTCTTATATTTTGCTGGCCCTGGGCCACTTATTGTTCTTGCCTACCTTAGTTAATGATTTTGCTAGTGAACGATTTGCTTGTACCCTCGCCCAGCAAGAAAATCTACTAGTATAGACTAAGAAACAGGACTTTCTTTGAGCCCTGATTCTGTTAAAACATGGTCAAGGTGAGGTTAAGTGAGTGTAGTCCTGAATAAGACTTTTGTCGACAGTCGCCGATTGTAGATCACTGTCAACAATAGTCTTATTCAGAATTCTACACTCACCAGGACAATCATAGTAAACCTGCTGGTGACATGTAATTCATTTTATGGAGCTGACAATGGTTATTACCTTTCTTTGCAAAGTCTTTGTTTGGCTCATATTTCTCAATGATGGCTTGAGCTTTTTCACTAGTGCAGTATGGAAAGAGGATTTCATTGAGGCGTGGATCTCGTTGTTCATTGTTTAGAAACTCCACAAGTTGATCCACTGTCAAGTACGGTTTTTTCTTTGCACCACTGAGAAAACAGTCAGTACAAAATTAGTACCAATACATATCATGTTCCTCATACATTGTACAGCTAGTTCATTTCTGCAGGTTAATAATTATTTTTCAGCTCATTCAAAAGTAGCAGTACTCCACAATCCCAAATTTAGATTCCAGCTGACATTGCAATTCAACAAACCAAGAGGGCACAGCTGCTGTGAGAAAACTCTATCATCACATTAAAACAGTGCTCAACCAAAAATCAGCAACAAAATTTCATGTACCTGAGACACCTTGCCCTAGAGGGCTTCAGATGTTTGCCAACATCAAAAAGGGAAAATGAAGCTTTCACTCCCCACCCCCTCCATGCAATGTTGTGCCGCTGTTCAAGCTACCCGTAGTAAACAACAAACACCCCAAAAAAGGAGGGGACAGGGAAGGATTGTGGATTGAGGTTGCCCCATAGTGTCTCAACAATTTCATTGCTGATTGTAGGTTGGGGGGAACCCTTGCATAAGCCCCAAATACATTGATTTTCTGCTTAAGATTTCACCAACAACATAACTGTTGCCAGAGATGTCTTCACCACTCATGTACATCAGTCAGTGTCACCTGCAATAGCTCACTTCAGAAAAGAGTGATAGCCTGGGAGAACTAGATCACTTCAAGAACAATATCTCACAGTGAGCTTAGCGTGAGATATTGCTCTTGCCACGAGAACATAAAAAAGCTAAGTAATATTCTTTTTTATATAAACAGCCGACCACCTTGGGACCTGAAACTAGAACGAAAATTTCCAAGATGTATTTCCGAAGATTGCCGAGCACTTTCGAGGAAGGGATGATTTTAAGGAGACAAACCTGATGTCAGTGAAATTATCGATATCTTCACATGTAAAAATATCATATTTTTACGTGTGTCCAGATAACACATTTCTCGGTGGTAGAAATCCTTGTAAAACACTGCAGTTTATATAATAAATGGGATTATTTGGGGGGACATAAATGTAAACAAACATGGCAGAAAGTGGAGTGGAATGTTTAAACAGAGTTAAAACAGCTCAAAAAAGCAAAAAGGAAGGTAAATTGACAGGAAAAAAAACATGATGATGTGAAGCTGAAGGAAGGTGTGCTTGGGAGATTTTACTTTGAGAAAAACTAGAAGAATGCAAATCTGTGTGCTATCGGAGTTCAACAAAACAAACATACATATATCCTCGCTGGATATGTCCTGTCTCTGGTATTCTATAAAATGCCCGACCAGGGGAGTTCCTGAAGTTATTTGTGCACAAAGGCAGACAACAACTTGCATGCCTCGTCATAATACAAGATGGCTGCTCACTTTGTACCCTAAAACAACCCCATAAATGAGCATGTGCTTAGTGTGGGCTTCAGGCTATCATTCTTTTCCGAAGTGCGCTATGTTTTAGAGGGCTAAAAATTAATGCTCAGAAAGTTGCAAACAGTAAACCCTTTTCCCACTGATGACACTAAATACAACAAGAATAGGCTGGTAGTTTTGAATAATTAAAAGTTGTACTTGACTCCAAGGCTATGGGGAATAAAACAAAAGAAATTAATTATTCATTCCTGAATCTCAATGCAAATTTTGTTTTATACCCTTCACCCTTGGAGCCAAGTATGAATTTTAATAATTTGAAACTGGCCTATTTGAACTTACATTTCAGCAAATATTGTGTCTATATCCTTTCTGTCACATAGCCTGTTGTAAAAAGCCCAAAATTCTTCAAAACTAAATTTATCAGGGCTAATACTGTCATTCTGAAAGTATAAAGTGAAATATTTGACGATAAGTACTGTTGTTATAGAAATTTATACGAAAACAATATCTTTTAAAATTCCAGCCTCAGAAATTTACTGAAGTGGAAAAAATAAAAAAGACATTTATGCTTCAATCTACCCACAAAATGGCAAACCTTAATCAGAATAAAATATGTGCTGTGCTCTGTTTGAAAAGGCAATACAAAATACATGATGGAGAAAAATGGCTAAGTGAAATATTGCACATAGCCGGTTTATTAAACTCTGAAAATCCTGTACAAATACAAACTCGAACTTTCATTAAACATGTATTGCCAGTGAAGGTGAGGGCAATCAACCGCCTGAAATATACAAACTATAGAGCAAGGAAGAGGCAGGAATGGGAAGGAGGAGGGCTGAGGAAAAATTTTTTAGTGTCAAAGAGATCAAGAATGTGACATCCATTATATGACAATCAATAAATACAACATTACCTACAGACGCCATCTTGAATTTAAAATTCAAATCAGTACCCTCGATTCCATGTTCCTAGCCTCTTTCCACATTACTGTACTCATAAAATACCGTGAAGGCTAAATTGTCACATAAAATTTTATTTGAAGACAAATAATGCAGCATTAAGTAAATGCACTTCTCAGGAGAATTCAGCTAAGTATCTGCATTATTTCTTTCAAAGTTTTAGCAAACTTCCAAGTAGTCTCAAAGCTCACGTACAAGTATCAATTCAGAAAATCTACAAAGCCTTAAAGAAAGAACATAAAGAGAGTAACAATTCCTGAGGTACAGTAGACTGTTAATTAACTGAACAAAATAATACTACTTTGTGATTGCAAGAACTTACTTTTTCATGTGGAAGACCAACAGATTGCAGAACATCTAGCACTCTCTTCTTGTCTTCTCTACTTGAACTTACATACTTCAGAATGCTGACAGTTTAGAAAGAGAGCTAGGGACTTACTCAGTACACATACACACGACAAGAGAGAAATACATGCAAACATTTTGGTGGCCTGGGCTTGACTTTCCAATAGACGGTTTAACACCATCATTTTGGATTAACACAACTAGTTCTCAGCTTTAAGGGAGCAACTGTGGCACAGTGGTGAGAGCAATTCCCTCCCACTAATGTGGCCCAGGTTTGAATTCCAGTGTCAATGCCATGTTGGTTAAGGGTTCTCTCCCTTGGTATGGGAGGTATTTTTCTTGCTACTACAGTTTCCCCATCTCCTTAAAAGCCATCACTTCCAAATTCTAATTTGATCTGGCATGCACAAGCAAGTTTCAACAAGCTCTTAAGAACTCCTAACTGTAAATGCTCTGTGCAGGGTCGCACCGGTACAATAATTACAATTTACATAATAAGACACAACAATATATTTTGCTTAAAATCTGCCTAAATCCTGGGTTAGGGTTAACCATCTTTCAAGGATCACTGAAATGTGGTCTTAAAAATTTAAGACATTTTAAATCTGGCTGTTAAATTTTCCTGAATGAAGATGTGAAAATGAACAGTTTGATTCAATTTTGAAAACTGTGAAGTGTTGGTGCCTCCAGGTGGTTAGTGGAGGTTACAATCTATGTGTGGTCAGACTGATCTTCCGCAGACATGACGACAAAGCCTGTATTAATTTTTGTGATAAAAGTCACTTACCTCTTCACAGGAATTTTTCCTTCTGCATTTGTTTGCACACACAACTTTGTAAAACTAAACAACAAACAAACATTAATAAGGATACTACATTTATTCACACAGATTACTGGCATCATCTTCCATCACTTTTGGTGTCAGGAACAGTTAAACTTTTTGAACCTGATACCAGCCAAAGAGAATCATATTTCTTATAAGAAAATCGTAAGAAATAAATTAAACTAGTAATAAAACTTTTTACAGCTTGCCATTAGGGAAATAAATTAAACTACCTAAAATCATTTCAGGAAAATAACATAAATAACATAACATAAAACTTTATTTTACAATTTTTAGCCATTAGGATCAAGCTGACACTACATAAAAACTATATAGAAAAATATATAGTCATTACCTAAAAGAAAGAAAATATCATTTACAATTTACAACTAGTCCCAAAAAGTCTGCAAAAAAAATTTGATGAGCAGGATTTGATGAAAAGTAAGAAAAGGAGTTAAGACCATAGGTAGTTGTTTTAGGTTTACTTAGTGAAAGAATGTAGTTGCCACGAAGATCATAGGAAGAGGACCGGAGTGAAAACATATTCTTCATATAAGTAGGAAAATGAGTGAAAAACAAACTCTTATATAACAGAATGAGGAAATTTTGAATGCGTTTGTTAAACAAATTTGATGAGCAGGATTGATTAAGGTTCTACTGTTATTTGAATTCCCTGAAACACTTCACTTACCCATGAGCAAGTTAAGAACAGAATTTACTAGCCCGACAGCAATATCCACTTACCATGGGCTATTAGACACTACTTTCTTTGCACACTGAATATGAAAAAATTATTTTGAAGACATTTCATTTGGATGGTAATGATAAAGGATTTTGTACACTCAAAAAAGAGTGACAAGTATTCCCACCACAAACTGCTCTAGAAGTTAACTGGTGAAATTTTAATCAATTTCTACTTACTGTTTTTCAAGGAAGCTCATAGGAGATGCATTCACAGCCAAGAGATTGTTTGTTAACTTCATAAGAGCATCTGTCCAATCACGTGTGACATTAACTGAACCAGAAACAAAGTTAACATAAACAAGGTCCACCATGTTCGGTCCATGAACAATTGTTATTGTTTTGTCTTGCAACAACTCTTCCTCTGATACTCCAAATTTCAGTGAATCCCGCAGTCTTTGTTCCTATTCAAATAAACAGGAAGTCATTAAAAGGTAAACTCTGGGCACAAAGCAGCATATCAGAGCTTGGATGTGCTAGACTTTAACAAATTTGGATCTACTGACATTAGGAACTCCAAACTAGAAACAACATTAACTTTATACAGAATTCCTTTTTTTCATAACCCTTACTGCTTTTGTGTTTGGAATGATCAGAGGGATGTTGTTGGCACAAAAATTTCTGGTCAATGCCCAAAGTACTCATTTGCATGTTGTAAAATGATGCACATAAATTCCCCTCAAAAATGACCATGGAAAAATGAAATCCCTAGTGCTAATTGTTTTTAGAAACCATAAAAGAGAAACAAAGTCAGCTGGCTGCTACCAAGACACTTAAAAAAAAAAAATCCTATTTTCAACCAGTTTGTAAACAGGAGTTTTATGCCACATGTAGAGATTTGGAAAAAAATAATATTAAACATCTGCTTCTGATAAGAACTGTCCACAAATACAAAAATATACTCACGCTAAGAATTTCAATTTAAGCTGCAGTGTCGGTAACTGACGGGTGAAGTGTTCATTACAGGAATAATTTATTTTTCACATCTTGATGCATGCGAAACTGAAATTTTGCACCCATTTTGTACGTTAAAAAATAAAACTTGATAAAGAAAAAAAACTACTTTCTTGGGGAAAAGTTAAACAACTACTTTTATCTACCACCAGGTTGTCCAACAGCATGAAAAAAATGATCAGTAATTACCTGAGGTCATTAACAACTAAATGTTCCACTACAACTTACAATAATTACACAAATCGAAGCTCAAACTTATCAAGAGTAAATGGGAGATGCGCCAGTCTTTTTCAACGATGAATGTTTGGCTTTGTATATTACAATCTAATATCCTGAGATACCTTTTATTTCAAAGCAAAAAATCATTTGGGGTATAGTTTGGGACTCACATAAACAATATGATTCTAAGAGCCAGTAACATTTTTTTAATGTCTGGAAATCATGATGAATATGTTGTTATTTATATTCGTTTCTTTGTAGAAAGGAGCTAAATTTGCATATTTATTGAACAAACATGATTTAAATTTATTATTTTAATTCTTTTCTAAAACAACAAATGTCAGACACAGAACAACAGCCATGTATCATAAAGAACCCAGCAATGAGAGATCAAAGTTAAACTGTTAGAAAAAAACGTCAAAGGGAAAGCTCAAGAAAAATTATAAAACCTTCCTTCATCCACCATCAAAACTTATTTTTCCAATTAACAAAGCAGTGAGTATTTTTAATCAATCAAAGTTCTTAAATATGGTTCCATATGCATAAATTTTTTGAAAAATTAATTGAAATGATGTGATGGGAAAATAAGCCTAAACTGCAATTTTATTAGCTAAGGTGAGGGCAAAAAACATTCCGTTTGGTGCTTTTGGGAATTTGTCTTATGAAAAATTGCAATATTTAATTTTGCCAAACTAGGGTGACACAAAATTGCTAGGTGATATTATTCACAAAAGAGAACAATAAATAATTAAAAGAAAAGCCTACATGCATTTTGTTTAAGCCAAAACTTCATTCCAAAAACGAACCACTTTCATGTCAAAACAAAAACTATTTCTTGCCATAACAACAAGTGGAACAACACACTTTCAGCTGGAAAATGCCTTAAATATTCTACCCGGGCGCAATAAGGCATTCTATCACAGGATTAAAGGCATTGTTAATGCCACAAAAAGGTATAAAACAAGAATTATAATAACAGAAACCTTTCACAGAGAACAAATTTATGTACTAGCTGCAAGGGCTAAATTTGAAAGTCTAATAAATCTTCAAAGAAGTTGAAATATATTAGCATTTACAGAAATATTTTTTTGAGTGGCACTTATAAGCATATAGGCGGAAAAGGTAAATTATTGTTTATTTACAAAAGAGCTCGAAGCAAAGTACCAAATATTAACAAAAAGACTCGCGATTTTTTCGGTGTTTTGTATCGAAAATCGTGCACATGGTCCCTAGCTGACTGATATCATCGAGAACACTTATCAGCGAAAAGCAAATGATTTTCGGACATGTTGGATTATTTTTTGATACTTTAACTAAGCTTAAATTTTACAGTTCAGATCACAAACCTTCGGAATTCTGGCCGATTTTCCCGTCCTCACGTCTCGAACAAACGTCAACTCCAGTAAGTCCGTTTCCTGTGTGTGAATAAAAGTTTTAATTTAAAAATAAAGGGCTATGTAAACTGACACTCTCTCTAAACTGAAAAATAAAAGATATGGTTACGATGATAGAAATTTACACTTGTAAGGAGCCTAACAGTCTAGAAAACGGCGACTTTGGATGATCGTGAAGAAACCTGGAAAGTGCAAAAAACTTGCACTGACTGCATGAGTGACAAAAACAAAAAGAAACCTGCACTGTCAACCTTCGGATACCATTACACATGGTTTATTTAAATCTTACCTTATCTTCAGCTCGCCAATAAATTAAATGACCAGCCGAATCTACTTTTACAGTACATGGCTGGCCTAACTGGGAATCCTGCAAAGAAAGAGCAAAAATTTAAAATATATTTTAATACCTTCGCGAAAGGAAGTGAAGCCCTGTCATGTACACAAGGCCGGGAACTCGCAATGGGCTTCACAATTAATAACACAGAAATACTTCCTGTAGACAAATACGGGAATATTCTGAGCGGCGAACTCGACTTGCGGAAAAAGGGCCGGTAGAGATTTGTACAGAAGATGACTTTACGTTAGGTTACCAAGTTAAAGAACCTCACTGCTAGTAAGCTTAATAAAAAATGGAGATCGAAGCGAAACGACACGGAGGTTTAGCTTTATAGCGTGACTTGAGCATAAAACCAAAACGAGTGAAAGGCGGTTCGACCTACATCGTCCCATTTTATGAATCTGGCTCCTCGAATTAAAAAATCTGCGACCTCGGGATGTGTCAGCCTTTCAAGGACTGCCTCCCCGCCCGCCATGTTTTTAGTTCGATTCAAAACAGAGCTGGGATCTTAGCATTCAGAGCCGCATTACTGCGGGCCGAAGGTGAACGATGATTGGTCGACAAATCAACAGGGAACAATTTGCCGCGCCATGCAGTTAGAAACTTGTTCAAGTGCGCTAATTTTATTACACATCCGACCATCCTTTCACTTTCTTAAATCATTTATTTTTTCAAGCTGATATAAAATTATCGATCATCGATCATCGATGCGAAAAAGCGAGATATTAGTTCTAAAATATGCATGCATCAATTTACGATGTCGGTCTAGGTCACCCATATTATACTTCTTTAATTGTGACTAAACAAAGAATTGAACCAATATCTTAGAGGATTTGTTTACATGGCAAAAAAAAAGAAACTATTGTAGGGCGATCAATAAAAACGTTTTCAGATAAACTTCAAATTTCTCGCCGTTACAAAAACTGAACTGCGCACGTTTTTCAGGGTTTTTCAGAAGCAACCAGACAATTTTAATTTTCCTAAATTGTTAAATACAATATCAATCTTGGAATATAAATAGCAGCACCCTTTTAGCAAATAAGCCGACTTAAGCAAATTAGTCTTGTCTGTCTAACAAAGGAAGCTTAAAAAGAACATGTTAAGTTTCTTTGTTTTTATTTTTTAGTTTCAAATTTGACTTTCAGTCTTCCATTCCAAGGCAGTTTCCGTATTTATAAAAAAGTAAAAAGTAGTTAAAATTTTTCTGTTAGAAAAAAAAAACAATGTCCTTTTTACAACCAAGAATAAAAATTTGCTATGAGCTACAATAATGCCTTTTTTTCCTGTTAAAATTGAATACAATTTTTTAGTATCAGACAATATAAATAACAATAATATTTTTAATACTTTACATTATATTACTCTCAACTTGCCCTTAAAGAAATATTACACTAAAATGTTAGTTTCTGGCAAAGAGTTCTTTAATTCAATAAAACTGCTGAACAAAAATTTTTGGTTTCCTGTTGATGTAACTATCTTAAAGTACCAAGTGAAAATGCTGATAAATCAAGATTTGCAATTTGATGGTTGGAGGAAATAGGAGGCAAAAGGGTTGTAAATCAATAACAATTTCTTATATTTATCATTCTGATAACCATTCTGACGACAGATGCTAATAAGTTAATTTAAATTTAGTAAGATTAATTCCAAGCAGCAGGAAAGAATGATAAGAAAATACTATTCTATGAAACAAAACAACAGTGAGAAGATAGAAGTCTTGCCTTTTCGTGAACCATTGAAAATTTTAGATTTGAAAAATCACTTTCTGAAATCAAATTTTTGCAAGGCAACAAAGAGACATACTCTCTGTTGCTTATTCTCTGCAGTCACGATTACTAGTGGGCCATAAAACAGATGCCTCGAGTGATTCTCTTATTACACAAAATTGAATCCACCATTCATAAAATAATATTGATGTGATAGGAAATGATGAATTTATTCAGGTTTTCCTTTTCCACATTAACCTCAAGGAAAGAAAAACTGAATTATTTACGTAGGATTTTAAAATATTGTCTCCCAGTAAAATTTTTCAATATCACATGATTAATTAACAGCAATTCATTCAAGTATTACAGTGTATTTATTATAATAATAAAATATAATTTTATATGATGAAAACAGTTACATGTACAAATGACTAGGCTGTAACATAAGAGTTCAATTCAAATTGAATATTCAAATATATTGGTTTACAGACTGACCTCATTAAATTTGATTAGTAATAAAGTATAGCTGTAGTAATGCATAGTCAAACACAATGACACAGTGTTTAATGTAATTTTGGTGTTTTATGACAACATCACCAATAATTCAAATTTATTTTGCAATAATATTTCATTACATGATATCAGGACAAAATATACTCAAATAAGTCAGTTCTTCAGTATATATTTTCCCCAAATCACAGCCAGGAAATAATTTTTTCACCCAAAAATAACTTATTTAAAAGAAAAGTAATGTTATTAATATACATGTATACCTTTCCATAAAAACTCACTGATTGAAGTTGACTTAGTAACATTAGACAATTTACTTTATTTTCAAGTGATTAGCAATCTACCCCAAATCAGAGACAAGAGAAAAATTTTTGTATTAAGTATTCAAGGAAACATTTTATCAGGGCATGGCAGTTAAAATAAAAATACATGGATTGAGGTTGAACCAGTAAGATGTTTTTAAAATGCTTAAATAATCTAGAGAGAATTTATTTTTAAAATTAAGTTAAATAGTCTAATTGATCTTAAGTAAAGGTTTGCGAGTGGCAATATGTCATGAAATGGGGTACAAATTTAAAACATCATTACATAACAATCTTGGCTGGTTACAAAAAATCAATAACACCGAACAAACCAAAATGCCGAACTATTTACAACCCCCCAACTTATTTCAAGGTTTCTCACATTTGTCATCCCAACCAAACTCTTCAAACCTGAATCTTGCTCCCATTTTGCTTTGAACTTCCAAATACCTGCCTTCATATGACGTAAATTACTGATCAAGAAAAGCCTATATGGTACCCTCAAGCAAAATTGAAAGTAATGTTGCAATTATATGTGAAGACTATTTCCTTAAAAGGATACGTCAAATGTAACCCATTAGATTTTTGTGGACTATCTTCAAAATAATGCCTGTTTGTTTTCAAAACATCAAAAGTTAAAAAATGCTTTTATTCTGATAGTTTCACAAAAGAAGGGATTGTTTCAAGCAAAAATCATTGGCAGAACAAAGAAAGCAGAGCAAAGTAAGTTTTTCCCAAATCAACCATTCTTTCCAACAGAAAGCTATGGTCAGCTAAAATCTACAAATAATCACTACAAAATAACTCCAGACAGAATGTAGTCAGTACTACTAAAAACAATCCTGACTGATCCCTAAGGTGTCGATGTGTAAGAAACATGACAATAAATGTCACTGGAACATAAATAATCTACAAGCCAGATCATAAGATACAAGTACATGTACAATGTAGTAAGCAGATGTATATATATATGTAGAAAAGTATACATACTATAAAACTGTAAAATTATACATATACATGGAAGAAGGGTTACATTGGGAAGGCACCACAAATTAACATAAGGTATGCAAGGAATTGAATACAAACTTTTAGAAAATGGTACATGTAGAAAACCGCACAAAAAGAGTTTTACGCAATTTGCATTATATTCCAAAGAAAACAAGGCAAGGGAAAATATCCAAGAAGAGTGAGAAAACTAGTAATAAAACCCATACCATCATACATGTAAATTAAGACAAAAAGATCCTCTATGCACCAGAGACTCTCCTTTCATAACGAATACAACATATGGAAAAATCTTGCATAAGATCAAATTAAAAACTTCCCTGGAATTGAAACAGGGTAAACCATGACCAACTAGCTATTTTATAAACACAATGACTAGGTTATAAACTACTTGAAGATGGAATTGATTATCAGCACATTAAGTAACAGTGGTTTTAACCAATGTTTAATTCTTCACATAACTCATACATTTACATGTAACTGCATCAGCCAGGACTAAACACTCTTGCTGAGGACAATATTTAATCTTCTTTTATTAATGACATGACTTTGATTCACTTTTTTTAAATATCATGTTTACTTTGTTTGTCATCAGCTGTGCTGTAATATCTATTAATGAGACTTACAGGGGTAGCTACACACCACTGATGAAGAACACAGCAGAGTGTTGCAGCACTGATGATGGTTATAAATTTAAAAAATTTATAGGGCAATCAGAGAAGACATATAATGATCCAAACAAAAGTAAATATCTCCGGAATGTTATTGCTTTTTACAAGGATGAAGCCAATCATGTAGTGAGAATTATAATAAGCTGGTGGTTTTGTGGCCTGCTTGTGTATACTACATGCAAAAAAGAAAAGGCAAACTTACCATGAGATGCATTTCATCTTCACCACAGAATGTACAACAAAATGATTCAGTCAACATTATTTAATCACTTAAAAATAAAATTATGACATTTAACAATAACTTGAATGATAACTCCCTGTTAGATTTAAATTGTGTGAAGTGTTTATCAATGAGATTATCACGGTGAGGCTTTTTCTTGCCAAAGTCCCTGACTGACTGTAGTCACAACATACACATCAATATGACAGCATAATCCAAATATTAACTACAACCCATGCTGTACATGTAGCAAACCTTGGTTAATGTCTCTCATCTGTGTTCATGGCACACATCCTTAGCATCAGTAAGTATTTTACTTTTTTATAGCATAATCTTAGACAATAGGAGTGTACAGAATATGGTAGATGCACAAAGTTGGTTGTCAGTTACCAGCGTAAGTATTCTCAAACATATTTCAGTGTTATGTTTTCAGCAACTCACTATCCTTTTCTTCTTCGAGTTGTGCAGCAAGTAAGGCTTCCCTTTCTAATCTGCGTTTGTCAAGCCAGGGTTTACATAAGTGAAAGATTCCTGCACTGCCCAGGATGAGGCTAGCCCTGCAGAAATTAATGGTCAGTGGTAAATAGACATTAGCAAACTATAAAGGCTACAACTACACAAGATGAGAATTTTCTAGATTCATGAATGTTTCCAGATTTATTACTTTTAGGGTATTTGGATTCGCTAGCGTAGTTTATACTAAAAACCTATTTGGATTCCCATTACTGTTTACAAACATTAATAAATCTGGGGAGCTTTAGCAACCACCACTACGACTGCAGGCACACAATGAGGCAAAAAAAGCAATAGGTTTAATAAGCAAAACAACCAATTTTGCTCGTGCAGCACACTTTTTGAAACATTTTTTTTGCTGCCCCTGCATGACCAAGACATGAAATGTCCTTATGCCATCATAAAACGATATACATACACAACACAACAGTCTTTTTTCTTCTTGCAAACACATCTGCATGCAAACAAAAAAAAATAATCTGATACCAAAACTAATATAAACATAGCCTAGGAAAGCTGAACACTGAAACCTGGGACACTTCTGTCTGACACACTCAGTTTCATAGCTTTTGTTTTAAATCCAGTAAAATGACGATATTGAGTGAGAACACTGACAAAGTATGTAATGTTCCCATTGCTTAAGGTCGCCATTACAAAAAACTATCCAAAGACCATCTGATCCGAAAGAGGCTTTCTCCGCTCGCCAAGAGGTCGACTTGTAGCAAGTCTAATTCCAATGAGACAGACTCTTTTCCCGTTAAGACCTTTTTCTTAGAAAAAGAATCTTGCAGGAATTTTGCTATAAATCTTTGACAGTCTTAGACGGTCAAACAAGCACACCCTCAGAGATTTTGAAGCTGTCATAAGATACCGTGGTTACCCAGGAATGCTCCCTCACTTAATGACAGCAAAACCAGCAAATATAAAATGAAATAGGGACGAGCGTAAAAGAGAGACTCAGTGTTAGAGGGTGATTAAGGAAACCTGACCTATCAGTAGCAAATTAACAATAGCTGCTACAACTTTCACCGTTCTCTCCACTGCTCCGCAAAACCAACATGTTTTCAATATTCCTCTGTAAAGCCTTAACCTAAATAATATTAGCTAATATTCAACGTTCTTTGCCACACGATTGAGTGGCTAACTAAAGAAATACCCAACATATTCTAGTTCCTTACAGCTGTACAGTTCATGCAGCGTGTAAGCTCATTAGTGGAGCGAACGAGCAGAAGATAATATTGCCCACTTACAACCCTTATCAACATCTGCCATCTGTTGCGCACACAAGCGAATCAAAGAGTGCCTTCCGTCTGAAAAACCTCAAAGTAGTACTTACCAAACAACACTTATAATAGTCACCCGTCGAATTCGACGACGTAAAGAGGGTTCTAGACTTTTATATTCATCTTTCAGGTCCATTTTCTCTTTGCTTCCACTTCACGATTCGCCAGGCGCTCCCAGTACAATGGTCACGTGGTCAAAGCGATAAAAACATATGTCAACTTCTTCATATCCATTTCCCGGTTTGTAAAATGGCTGCAGCGACACCCGAACGGGCGACCAAAGAGGTCTTTGATTTGTTCAAAAAATATGGAGATAGAGACTATATAGGCGAGCCAGTCTCTCAAGAAGAACACATGATTCAGTGCGCTATGTTAGCCGAGAAGGACGGATACTCCGACGAGGTCATCTTGGGAGTGTTCTTGCACGACATTGGACACCTGGTTGGGTTCGATAGAGATCTTCCGCCAATGGCGGATGTGGGTACAAATGCACATGAGATTGTAGGTGAACAGTTCCTCAAAGATCTTGGATTTCCAGAAGGTGTGACAAGTTTTGTTCGTGGCCATGTGGACGCCAAACGTTATCTTGTCTTTAAATACCCGGACTATCACGCCAAGGTATATTTTTCTAGCTCAAAAGTCACGAGATCAAGAGGTGGAGTTTTCACCTTTTTATGCCCCCTTAGTTCTGCCCTCCAGATTCATGAGTGTTAAATACAGTGTTAAATAGAATTTAGCAATGCTAAAAAGAAAACTAATCGGAGTTTTTTTTTTAATAGATATTTTTGCCTGCATAGAAATTGACACCTTGCATGTTTACACCTCCTCACGCCACAAATATCGAAACGCGGTATTCTCTCCGTCCCAAAAAAGGAATAAATAAAGAAAATAAAATGAAATAACTAAAGAATTAAATCTTAGTATCGTTTCTATAATAGCTGCTAAAGTATTGTTAGCATTCTCTCAATCGACAAAAAGGGAATTTCGCATTTATTCTTTGACGACATTAGTCTGATCCAATAACTTTCTTTTTTCTTATCTCTCTTTCTTAGCTGACTCCAGCGAGCCAAAAGACGTTGATTTTTCAGGGAGGCCCAATGACAACAGAAGAGGCCAAAAAGTTTGAGACGTTGAAGCACTTTGAGGCTCTAGTAAAGATGAGAGATTGGGATGACAGAGGCAAAATAAAAAATGCTCCAGTTGATCCGTTGGAGAAATATGAAAATATGTGTAAAAATTATCTAGAAAAGGTCCACAGTAAATTTTGAACTGCAAATAAATAGACAGCTTACAAATGTAATAGGTCATGTTTATTAAAAAAAGACTGAGTCATTGTCAAGTGAGTGTTGCGTAATGGGTTTCAAATTTGGTATGAAGGTTGTGCCGCATTGATGCGTGATTTCGGGATTGATTTCGGTCACAGCGTTTTGGGCATCCCTGCGTTTTGGGCATCCGCATTCCCAAAAAGTTCGAGTATGACTCAAAATTAGAGTCCTTGTTCTACGTGGCCAAGGAGAAGGATGGCACAGCGCTTCGACGACTTGTTATCACCGAGGAAGAAAAAGCGAGGGTCTTCGAAGCCGGTGCCACTATGCTCCTTTCTCTAGACACGCCGGCCGCGATAATACTTTTGCACCCTGTGAAGGTTGTTCCCAAGGTGTAGTACTTGGTCGGAATTGATTTAATAGAAGCCCCTACTACATCTCAAAACGGCAACAGATTTCTTCTGTCCCGTAGGTGCAAGAGGCCTCTGTATAAATTGTGTGACAGTCTTTCCTGTGTCAAGTAGCGCTGCGGGGTTAAGTTGTACAGGCCTCATTGTCTTTTGATTGCTTTGTTTAGTATTCTTGTTTTTGGCTGTTTGGAATCAGACGATCGCAGCTGCCGGTGATTGCGGCATTTCTCGCTGGTAAACAGTTCTGTTAAATAAAATTGAAGCTTTGCTAACAATGAAGCGTTGTACAGCGAAGGGATGTTATGCGGTTGTAAATTTAAGTTTCGTCATGTTTTGAGCCCGGGGGGGGGGGGTACTCCCATACATTACCTATATGGGTATGTGCCGCCCAAAGGGGTCGTGATTTTGAAGCTCCTGGTTTAGAACGGGGTATCCATTTCAGACGCGGTTTCTAGAACGAGGTATAATATTTCGAACGCATGAAAGCTCTCCACTTTTGTAAGCAGCCATTTGAAAGCCTTCAAGGACAGATTGCTTTTAAAAATACGGTTCAGTGCGTTAACAAGCAAACCGTTGTACCCTTGTTGCACCCTAGAACGGAGTATAAAAAATTGGCCCATTTCTAGAACGGGGTGTTAGTTTTAGGGTGAATTCTAGAACGGGGTATGAAAAATTGGCCTATTTCTAGAACGGGGTATCAATTTTAGGGGAATTTTTTTCTAGAACGGGGTGCCAATTTGGAATCCCGGGCGGCACATACCCACCCAAAAAATACCCAAGTGCCCCCCCCGGGGTTTTGAGCCAACGTTTACTGCCAATGGGTTTTTTTTCTGCGCAATAAACCCGGCGAAACGGTGTCAGACGATATAATTCTAACATGCATCTACACTATTCAGCCGTAAATTCGTGATTGACAATCCCGACTTTTCCCCAGTCTGAAATAATTTAGGCAAAGTCGAAGCGATCAGCGTTTTGGGCATCCCCCACCGGGGATGTCCAAAACGCTAGGGATATGGGAATGGGGATGCCCAAAACGCGGGGATGCCCATTGCCCATATCACTGTGACACTCGGGTGATTTCTAAACACTATTTGCATGAGGATCCTGGGAACGAGCTAGGAATCATCCAAGATGGCCGCGGCCTGCACGCGATGGGGTATTTTCGGTGCGGGAAAAATCGCCCATGATTTTGTGGTCGCTTTGAAAACTTTACCAGAAAACGAACACAAGGTCGTTGCAGTAGCGGCGCGTTCTCTGGAGAGATCTGCCGAGTTTGCAGACAGACACAACGTCGAGAAAGCTTACGGCTCTTACGAGGAACTCGCCCGAGACTCAAATGTAGAAGTGGTGTATGTTAGTACAATCCACCCCCAACACAAACCGCTTTGTATACTAGCCCTTAATAATGGGAAACATGTGCTTTGTGAAAAACCTATGACAATGAACCTGAAAGACACAAAGGAACTGTTTGATCTTGCAAAGACCAAAGGATTATTCATCATGGAGGTGAGTGACCGCTGCCGAGTGTGGATGATGAAATCCTATCCTGGGACCAGGCTTCTTGGTGTGGAAAAAGGGAAAAGGGCTAGATTCACCTCCTTCCAACTCCTGGCGATATTTAGACCCCTTTCCACAAACGGAGAGCCTGTTAATAGGCTAAGGAAATCCTGTTTTTACGGTCGCAAGCCGTATTAAACGATTTGCCGTCAGGTGGGCGGGGTGGGGCAGGGGGCGTGGAACATTCACGCCTTAAATGTGGAACACTTCTGGACTCTCTGTTTCGAATAAGGCGCATAATTTTATGCACACTTGTACTGCACAGGGTCCCATTTCATCACAAGGAATCAGTAGTCTATGCTAGGCTCTCAGATATAAGGAACGCCACAAAAATATAACAAACAAAGCAAAAATAAGCGCAACCTAGGAAAGGGGGCGGCAGCAGGAACTCCCAGCTCCAGTGCATTTGTTTTTTTCCTTCACTTTTTCTGAACGACTGCTCTACTATCTTGAAGCCTGGAACACCTTGTTCAGCTGAATTTATTTTGCTACCCTCCCCTTCTAATAAGATGTCTTCCTGCAGGTTGAAATCCAGTTCAGACTAAGAGAGAATTCAACGGTATCTATTAAATACAAACTGTGTTTTTGATTCCAAAAATTATGCGCAATGGCTTGTATTTTTTTGCAGGCATTATGGACAAGATTTTTTCCTCTGTATGCAGATGTTAAGAACCTCATAGATTCCAATGCTCTCGGAGAGCTCCGTTTGGCATTTGTCTCCTTTGGCTCAAATGTAACTCACGTTGAGCGAGTGTGTGACCGAGACCAGGGGGGTGGGGTGCTTCTAGACATTGGACTCTACTGTTTGCATGTTGTAGATATGATCTTCAATGAGGAACCCCTAACCATCACTGCTGTGGGACAGAAAATGGCCACCGGAGTAGACTCAACAGTTGTAGTGACAATGTTGTATGAAGGCGAGAAAACAGCTTCTATAACTATGAGTGTTGGTGAGTACAAATTCTCTGACATGACTGATGTTGGCCTCCTTGAAGAAACTAACTTCTGTAAGATCATGACTGGTTTTAAAATATGTTTTGTGTCACTTCAGCTGCAGATCTTCCCGGGGAAGCTACATTTTCAGGATCACATGGCTCTGTCACTATTCACAAACCTTTTCACTGCCCCACAAGTTTTACTTCTCCTGCTGACACAAAGGAATACCCTCTTCCAGAGCCTTCCATGTCAATGAACTTTGTCAATTCTACTGGATTAAGGTGATATGCATTTTTCATGGATAATTTGTTCACAAGCTACAGTTGACCTGCCTGTCTTAAAGAGAGTTCAGTTAGGGAACAATGACTAAAATTCTGGCTTAAAGAGTTGTCCCTCTTGGGTGTCAGTTAAAAGAGAGTAGACTGAAACCTTTTCAGGTGATTACGTGTAAAACAGTCAGCAAAGTAGTGATGCATTCAGGCAGTTGATAGAGGTATTTCTTTAGCTTGGCAATTACTTACAGGTTATGAAGATTTTTAGGGGCATTCTGAACAAAGGC